AATTATTTTTCTTATGAAATTATTTATAAATTGTTGAATATATTTTATTTATTTGTTTATGAATTTGTCAATAATATTAAATATGTATGAAATATTTTTCTTATTATAGTTAATTTTATATATTATAGTTAATTAAGAAAGATAATTAATAATTAATAATGTTATTTTATTATTTATTCATTAAAAATGACTTAAAAATGACGATTAAATGAAAATATATTTATGACGATAATATTTCGTAACAAATATGATATTTTTTTTACGTTGTTTTTTTAGTACACTGACATTGAATGACAAAAAATGATCTTAAATCATCGTCATAATGACATCATCTTGCTACTTCACTTATCTTTACCAGTATATTTCAAGATATCTTCTGAAATATTCGCATTATATCTGGAATATATCTGAGATATTTTGAGTAAATTCAGTATTACTCAGTAATTCAATATATATAGCAAAGTTTATTTGCTATAGTCTGAGTATATCCTGAAAATATACAACAAATGATATTCTACACAGATTTTATACAAATAATCTTAATATACTCGGTATGATCACAGTACGTTTAGTATAAATACAGAATATTCGTATGATATATCATGTGCTGTTAGTAGTTTTTTTATATTTACGGTTAAAAAATACTTATTATTTTATATATGTCGTATAAGTGTCGGTCCACAATAAGTATTTAATCTTTAAGTCGTAAGAAATTGACCAATCATAGTCGATTATTCTTTTCATATTCGATTATAATTGGTCAATTTCTTACTTCTTAAAGCTTAAATCACCTATTGTGGACCGACACTAACATATACATATACATATGTCAAAAAAACTTTCGCAATTAACAGATTACTACTTACACAGTATTACCAATTCACAGAAATTAAATAGTATTGTTTAGGGATTTTTGTTATTATCAACATTATCTCCTCTTTTTTTTATGAAAATTGCCCTTGTAATTATCCATTCTGACTGCTTGTATTAAAAATGTGCACTTCATGTTATATAAATTAAGCCGGCATACGATGCTTTTTTGGCTGCTGGATTGCTTACGTGCTCTTATGCTGGCTATTTTGCTGGCTACTATGCTGGAAATTCTATAGCCTGCTGATTACGCTGTTGTCTGGTCTGCATTTTTGTGATAGATCCGGTCTTTGACTATACAAGTATGGACTGTCCACCGTTTTTTCCATGTTAAAAGCATATGCTTGTTGTCACCAACATTGGATCGAGATATTTCGAGATTTAGGCTCCGTCCCGTGTCTCAAATGGCGGATAATTTAAAAATCAAATAAGAATTTCTGTAAACGAACAAATATATTTTATTAACATTTTATAAAAATTATATATTTATATTATATATTTTATTTATAAAATATACTGATTAAAAACAGATAGAATATATAAAATATATAAAAATATTATTTATTGTCCTTTAAATATAATAATTTTTGTCAACGTGTATCGAATAAAAGAGTTATGTTTATTTCTTATTTCACACGCTCCAAAGTACGATATGTTAATATTATTACGTTTAAACAAGTTTATGCAATCAATTTAATTAATTCGTATTTATGATTTTCAAGAACATGTAAGTTTCGTATATGATCGAATAAAATGATATGAACTGATATAAACTGATATGCACTGATCAATCACTTACGCTTCAATGACACGCATTTTAGTTTCTTTTCGTTATGATAGCGCCACTATCTAAATGTTGGCGTCAGGAGTGAAATAAGCTATTAACAGTCCATATTTATATACTCAAAGAATCCGATGCTATTTTTCTTAGGATGGCGCCCGCTTGCCCACGTTGCCTATTGGCCAATTTAAAATAAAATTATTTGATTGGTTGATCTAGTAAAAAATCTCCAAGCATCGGTCGGTAAGTGGCTGTGTCCAATTGCAACGTGGTCAACAAGACGTCCTCCTTTTTTGCATGGTCTTGATTGGCTCACTTTGAAAATCAATCAAGACGCAGCTTTAGATCACATCATCAAAATATTTCTTTCGAATATCAAATATTCTATCGTTCCTCTGTTTGCTACAATTTGTCAAAATAAAAATAAATATGACAAAAGGAAAAATAAATAAATAAATATATCAAGTACCTTCTATAAAATTCTATTCAGCCAGCACGAAAACTCGCACTGAAGTTAAACTAACAAGACAGCCAGCATCAATGTTAGCAACGCTGTCATCACGACAGCAAGCATGCAAATCCAGCAAAAAATCTAGCAGCCAAAAAAGCACCTTGTGCCGCCGGCTTTATATATTTTTAATACCAATGTATCAGAACACCATAATAATACAAGGATATCCTCAGGTCGTTCTATTAGATGAGCCAGATATTCTGAGGATTATTTATTATGATTCTGAAACGTAAACAAGACGTCCTGTGGACTAGCAAATGAGCACTTCATTACGACTTCGAGACGTTTTCCACTCAGCCTTAGGCTATGAAGACTTTCTTAAGACAATTTTAGGATGACTTCAGGATATCCCACAAACATCCTCAAAGACTGAAAACGAATTCTGAAAACGATCGCGTTCCAATATTGACTGCTAGTACTGAAAATCTATATACGTAACACCCCTTACGGAAAATAAGTGAAAAAAATGAAAAAAAATTGAGAGAAAGTGATAGAAATGTTTTATTTTGTATCACCGCATGTTTCTAAA